GGAGTTTTGGAAGCTGGTGAAACTTGTAAAGGAATCCTGTTCAGCCGTCAAACCCGAAGTCCATCAAGGCTCGTGTTGGCTCCCGCACCCCTCCCCTCCCCGTGCACCTGGGAGCGCGCAGAGAGAGCAGAGCAAGGCCGTAGCCGCAGCTGCTGCGGCGCAGAATCGCTTTAGCCTTAAATAGCTTGAATTTGCCGAAGCCGTGAAATAGCTTCGCCGGTGACCCTGATCTTGCCTAACCAGGGGCCTCGACCACAGACCTCGCTTTGTCCACCCGCGTGGTTTCTTAACTCCGCGCCACTGAACTGCTGCAACCGGCTGCCGGATTTGAGCTGCAAAGGGTGGCACAACCCGGGGCTCTTGCTGAGCCCCTGGAGCCTGCGCTGGTCCAAGACACAAAGGTGATGGGCACTAGTGAAAGTCTGCAGACGGCGGGTCTTTCTAGCCCCGCAACAGCGTAGGGCCAGCGCCTCGGTAGCAGTGAGCAGAGGGCCCCTCTCCTGGGGTCGAAGGCTTTTGAAAGACGATGAGAGATTTAACCTCCCCATTACAGTGCAATGTTCAGAAAAGCCACTTTCTGTTATTTCCAGACTATATTGGGAATCGTTTTTCCCCTCTCCCTCTGCAGCCGGAGCAATTGGACTCCTGGCAGCAGCAGGCCTGGCTCTACAGGCTGAGGAATATGACAAACAGCGCCCATAAAAATGTTCACGGTTTTTACTGTTGTTTCTGAAACGGCCTTTCCCAGAAATATGTCGAAAGAAACAAGCCGGGCCGAGGGGGGTTAGCGGCCGTACGGGGATTGGCAGCACGGTGTCTCGTGGGCGCGCTGCCCGGGGCTGGCCCCAGCCTGTGACGGCTGGGCACAGCCCCAGCGCATCCGTCTGCCCCCACGCTGGCGCCAGCACAGCTACCGATCGCCATTTCCCTGCCGTATCGCTCAGTCCCGGGCATGGACGTCTCGTGGGAATGGCTGCAAAGCGCCGGGTCTCTGCATGCGAGCTGACCCGACGGGGACCCTGGGCTTGACCACTCCTAGGGATTCTTCCCCTGGCAGCTGTGTTTGCCGCGGGCTCTTCTGTGCGGGCCGCAGGTACGTGCGCATTCACCCGTGCGTGCTGGAGCTGCTCCACGCTGTCCCGTCCCACTTGGCTTGCCCTCGCTGCGGCGGGTGTCGGGAGTGATGCAGGACGGGAGGATGCTTGGCCGCTTTACGGCCTGCGCCAGGGTCTTCGGGCGAGGCGGCGGTTCTCCGAGCCGGTGAATCGCAGCTGCAGCAAGGAAGGACTTGGCCCCTGCCGGGGGAAGAGTGGAAGGCTTCCCTGCCTGAGACTTTCCCGTTGAAATGGGGGCGCGTGGGGAAAGATGCTCAGCACTGGAGAAGCAGCGTCTCAGCCTGCGCTTCCAGCTTCCAGTTGGAAAACCGCCTGGCTGTGATTCCCCCTGCCCGCCACCTTTTCTGGACTTACTCTTCTGCTTGGAGGGTGTTACGCTCGCTGCAGCCCCTCACCCTGAGTCCCAGCCTGGCTGCTGCCAGCCCCCTGCCCAAGGCCACATCTTCACAGCCAACTTACCAGCCCGGCTGTGGCACCCCAGCCCTCCCGCACGGTTCTGCACAGGCTCCCTGCAAAACTTGGAGCCATGTAGATAGGTCCATGCAGCGCTTGGGCAGTGCCAATTAACCTGCCTCGTGCTAATTGGCCTGCCCGTTGTGGTCTCTGGCTGAATGCAGAGCCATGTGGCGCGTGGTTTACCATTCGGAGCTTGCCTAAATCCCAAGGAAGAGAGGAGCTCAAGTGGGGCATGCTCCAGGGGACGAGGGCGTTTGCACTTTTTCCCTGTCTGGATAAAAACACAACAGCTGCTCTGGACTAGCCCCATGCTTGGGGTGCAGGGGGCATATGTAGCCCCATGTGCAGGCAAGTCCGTGCAGCTGGTGAGAGTTCAGAGGAGCACAGTCCCAGCTCAGCTCCTTAATTAAAGCCAGACAAGTGCAAGGTGCTGCACCTGGGGAGGAAGAGCCAGCACCATACCTACAGGCTGGGGAACTCCCTTCTCGTCAGGGCAGAGGCAGAAAAGGATCTTGGAGTCATCATTGATGCCAAGATGAACATGGGCCAGCAGTGTGGGGACGCGGTCAGGAAGGCCAACTGCACCTTGTTGTGCATCCACAGATGCATCTCGAGCAGGTCCAGGGCGGTGATCCTCCCCCTCTATGCGGCACTGGTCAGGCCGCAGCTGGAGTACTGCGTCCAGGTCTGGGTGCCGCACTTCAAGAGGGATGTGGACAACATGGAGAGGGTCCAGAGGAGGCCACTCGCATGGTCAGGGGGCAGCAGGGCAGACCCTACAAGGAGAGGCGACGGGACCTGAACCTGTTCAGCCTCCACAAGAGAAGGCCGAGGGGGATCTAGTGGCCTGTTACAAACTGGTCAGGGGGGACCGGCAGGCACTGGGGAGGCTCTGTTCCCTGGGCACCACCCGAGGTTACTAGGAATAACAGCCACAAATTGTTAGAGAGCAGGCGCAGGCTGGACATCGGGAGGCGTTGCTTTACCGTTAGGGCTGCCAGGCTCTGGACTGGGCTCCCGAGGGAGGTGGTGCTCTCCCCTGCCCTGGGTGGTCTTCAAGAGGTGGCTGGACAGATATTTGGCTGGGTTGATATGATCCCAGCACCTGTTCCTGCCTGGGGCAGGGGGTCAGACCTGATGATCTGTTTATGTCCCTTCTGACCCCAAGTACTATGAGACCACGATACCCAGAGAGGTTCAAATTGACTCTCGGCATCTCTGTCCGTGCTTCGTTGCAGCCCTTTCCCAGTCTTTGGTCCAGTCATTTAGCACAGATTCTCCAGGCCAGCGCCCCAGGTAACTCAGATCAGCATCAGACCTATGTGGACACTTCCTTTGGTCCCTACGGGTGGGGATCCATGCAGAAAGCAAGGATGTTTTGGGCTTGCTGAGCGTAAACCTCAGTGCATAGGTTGGATCCCGTTAATTAGGTGAGACTTTGCTCAGCGTGTCCTGTGCAAACTCCTGCACAAGCCAGCAAAGAGTGCAGATATTCAGCAGGGTCATTAAATTGGATGGCTCGGGGGCTTCGGCCTCCCCAAATGGAGCATCTGCTTTCCTATCGCGAGTAGCATGGGGCTGCACTTTACTCGCGTGTGGCCTCGTTCCAAGAGACTTTAATTGTTTACCACTGCTTATATGTATCTTCCTTTGCAGCCCAATCTTGACGGCGCTACGCTGCCGTGTATCGCCTGCTTTTGTTTCCTTTTGAACCACGTAGGAGGATGTGTTGTGGCTGTGTCGATGCTGCTGTTGCTTGTTATTGAATGCTGGCTCTGGTGTCTTTCCAGTTAAGCTCTGTACGCCTTTTGTCTTTGAAAATCAATGGAGAGCAAATAAAAAGAACTAGTTTTCAGTGGTACCTTTCACAGAAAAAGCCCTTTATGTTTGCTGGAGAAGAGGAGGTTTCTCAGGAGGCCAGACTGGGAGACAAAATGTGGCTTATGCTCTTAATAAGCTTCAGTAGCATGGTTTTTTTGCTTTCAAAAACCTTGGATGCCCTGTAGCTGCTCGCATCCAAACGCAGAAGCAATATTGCAGCGTGTTGTGTTGTTTACAGCAGATGTTGCCTTGTGCTGTCGAACTTCATGTGCAAACGAGCCGAGGGGCCTGGGAGTCTCCCAAGATCTGAGCAGAGGATGTTGAAGATTAGTCACCAAATGGCCGGCGTTTGTGCTGCAGGTGTGTGGCGTTGGGCACGAGGTTCCCAAACGTCCCCGTGGCTGGAGTGCGCTTGCCGGCAGTGTCAGGGGGAAAGAAAGCTGCAGCGAGCTCCCGATCGGCTGGGGTTTTCGGGGGAGCAAGGGGAAGGCCTTGTCGAGTGGATTCGCTGGCCAGGGAAGGTTTCTTTAGTTCTCTTCAACAAGTAAAGGGGGGAAAGGCCAAGAACATGCTGCAAATAATTGAATTTCCAGGCCCGTGAAAGCTCCTTAATGGTGCTTGGGCACTCCTCCTGCGGAGGCACGTCCATCTGATTGTAGCTCCGGCCTCGCAGAGCGCAGCCCATCCTTGCTCAGGAGACAGAAAGCGAGCTCTCTTCTGCGGTCCCCAGCTGAACGACCGTGCCGGCATGGTCCTCTACTTCTTGGGGCTGTCGGGCGGCTTCGGCCGGGACAACCACAGCCTGCGGACACGGGGCAGCGGTGGGCCGCGTTAACCTCCCTCGCTGCCTGCTGGGTCCGGGTGTTAACGGCCCATCATGGCCGTACTTTGCTCTCCGTTATGGCCATTAGCCATGCTGGGGCACACATCAGTTGTCTGCCACGTGCCGCCGGCGCTTCCCGCTGCAGCATCTGGGAGCGCTCCTCGGTGAGGAGAGTGGGCTTCGTTAATGTTGCACTCGTTTATTTGTAACGGTCACCTCGCCGTCGGGTTTCCAAGCGTGTCCTTCCTCTACGGGAAACCCCGAGTGGGGAAAAAAGAAAGCAGGCTGGTCGCTCTTTATTGGTTTCAGGATTTTTATGCAATGTTTATTTCAGCAGTATTTATGATGAAGGCTGTGTATTAATACTGATTTGGGAATGTATCGATCAAGTTGGGGGGTTTTTAAATGTACACCAGACTCTGCCCCGCCACGTCTGGGGCTGTGTGTTTGGCCGGCATTCAGGACCACCCCAGACCCCTGCAGAAAACCGAACGCCCTCGTTCACCGGGTTTATTAACAGCAATGCCTGGTGCCTGCGTATCGGGGAGAATTATGGACGTTCCCCAAGGCAATTGATTTTAAGCAGAGTTAAATTTAGCCGAGGCCCTGTTGGTATAATGAGTGCTCATTACTGAGTCTGATGTGCTGAAAGGCCTTCAAAAGTTTCTCGGCGGGGGGGTCGGGCTGCTGTTCGCCAGCACAAGCACCGCTGCTGTCATGTGTCGCGGGGCCGGTGTCCTGTGGCTGCGCGGCCGGGTCCTCACGTGTGTTGTTTCCCGTTGCAGAGGATCACATCCCCGCTGGCTTCCCCATCATCGACATGGGCCCACAGCTGAAGGTGGTGGAGAAGGCCCGCACGGCCACGATGCTCTGCGCCGCCAGCGGCAACCCAGACCCTGAGATTTCCTGGTTCAAGGATTTCCTCCCGGTGGATACCGCCGTGAGCAATGGGCGCATCAAACAGCTCCGCTCAGGTAAGGCAGCCAAGCGGGTGTCCCCGGCTCTCCAGCCCTCCCGTGCCACCACTCTGGGGGAGGGGGTGCAGCCCTGTAGCGCGATGCCGAACCCAGACATTTCACGTGATCTGACTTGGTTTCCATTATGATACAGATGTGGCTTGGGGGAAACCTGTTCTCTCTGGCAGGATATCCCGGGAGAGATTGACACAGGGGAGGCAAGGGGGAGAACATGCCCTGGGAATACCGCGGACTCCTCCAGCGGTACCATCAGCAGGGGAGGTGGGAGCGGAGGCCTAAAGACGGTGCCCAAATTCAGGGCAGAGCCAGACACCTGCCCTCCAGGCCTCGGTTCCCGGGGTGAGGAGCTCAGCACAAGAGAAAACAGAGCACCTGAGATGTTAAGTCGGGGGTCGCGTGCCCCTCTGAGCCCGGGGCCTCTGGGACACGGCTCTGCTTTGCATTATGTCCTCGCCAGTTCGACGGAGCAAGAACAAAGATGAGCCAAGAAGCGCAGTAGCAAATAACTGACTGATGTGTAGAGTTCAAGGACAGACGGACCCAGTTTCCACAAGCATAGGCCCTGGCTGGTGGCTGGAAAGGTGGGCCAGTCTCTCGATAATGCTCTCTCACGCTCCTCGGGTGCTTTTCCATCACGATCCCGTAGAGAATTGAGCAGTGTGAAGGGTTCCTGGTGCGAAGCAGTCGAGCCTGGGACTTTCCCCCTGCACGGCAGGAAGCAGGACTGCCCTGTGTTGGTGCTTCCCAGCCAGATGTCGATCCAAGCCCCATGCCACAGCTACCTGGGGAGCAGCACGCGTGCAGCTCCCTGTCGCTGGGACTAGCATCTAGGGCCACTCGCACAGGTTTTGCTGGTTGCCACATGGGGCTGGGAGGGAATTTGTCGGATCTCTCGCGTGTATTTTAACAACCCCGGCAGCAGCAGGACGTTGGCGGCCGCGGCCCCTCTGCTTTCCCAGGGGCAGAGGCAGGGGTGATGCCTGGGGCTGTGTCAGGGGTGACTGTCGTGTTGCTCAGAGGTTGGACACGGGGTTTGTCTGGGCTGGTTTGGACAGGGCTGATCCTGCCTCAGGTGGGGGTCGAACTAGATGCAACCTCCGCAGCTCCCCGCCAGCCCCACGGCTCTGTGATCCCGTCGTCTGAGGTCCTGCTGCTTTCAGCCCTTCCCAGGAAGGTGCCAGTCTCTGTGCAAATCGCAGAGAAATGAGAAGAGCGGTGGTCCTCCCACCTTGGCCCACTAGCCAAGGAGTTCGGTCCTTGCCCGGGCATCAGAGTCCCCAGCTCCGTGCTCCTCGCCCGAAGAGGATGTGCGCCTCCATCGTCCACTTCCCAGCAAAGTGCCCGAGCCCCTCAGCGCTCCCCTCAGCCCTCCTGTTGAACCAGCCAGGAAAGAAGATCTGTGGGGCCAAAAGGTGATCTCTGTGGCACAGGGAGACAAAGGGGGCCCTGCCCCCTGCTCCCTTGTTGGATAAATCAGGTGGGCAGCAGAATCCAGGGCCCTGGACCCCTTCCCTTTCAGGGCAGCGTCCATCCCACTGAGCTGGAGTGAGGTACCAGGTGCAGCAGGATCAATCGCAGCAGCATCAGAGGCAGGAGCAGGGTTTTGGGCATGTGTCGAAGGGCAAGGCAGGTGGCCTGGGGCAGAGCTGGATCCGCGATCTGCGAAAGCAGCACAGAGCGCGAGGCGCCAGCCGTGTTGGTGCAGCTCCCCTGCCTGCAGCATTGGGCTTGGGCCCATCTGGTGCTGGAAGCAGCGATGCAGCCGGTCCTGCCAGGCCATAGGAGCCATCAGCCCTGCAACGGCAGTGCCCTGGGGGCCCATTCGGGGTCCTCGCCGAGGAAGCCTCTGCAGTGCCCTGGCTCCTGTGCTGGCAAAGCCGCCCGCAGCTGGGAGTGTGAGCAATTAGCCATCCCTGACACCTACATCAAAGCTCAGCCCAGCACTCTTGATTCCACCTAGATACACCAATGAGCACTAATTACATTAATGCATTTACAGCGTATGAAATTTCCCAGCGACCTTTAGCTTATCTCTCCCACAAACACGGCTTAATCTTGATGTGTGTGTGCTGGAAGAAAATATCACTCTCGTTAATTATTCTGAGAGGCGTTGGGAGGCAGCAATAGGCAAGTGCGTGTGGATGCGTTGCTCTTTCTAACTGACTCAGTCGACGTCAGCAGCTGAAGCCCTAAATGAGCAAGGCAGGTCCGCTGCGCTGGCTCTGCACTCTGCAGCCCTTTGGCTGTCCCCTGGCTGCTGTGCAGGTTCGGTGAGAGAGAGCGGGGATTCAAAGGGATTTTAGGAGGGCGAACTTCAACGAGCTAAGGAGGACAGTTGGAGAAGCGCTGAAGACTCGGAGGGGAGGGGAGCCGGGTGTCCAAGGGGAGTGGTCGCTCCTTAAGGAGACGATCCTCCAAGCCCAGAGGAAGGTAATCCCCAGGAGGGTCAAAGGGGGC